AACTGATGTCACAGTGTTACAGAAGACATGTAGCCTGCACCTAGAGACCCTTTTTCACAAACTGTAATCCTTTCTATTTACTGAGGGAGTTCTCCTTTTTTGTTTTGGCCGGTGTTTACATCCCACCACAAGTATTAGTACAACCCAAATTCCAATAAAGTTGGGACGTTGTGTAAAGCACAAATAAAAACAAAATACAATTATTTGCTAATCCTGTTCAACCTATATGCATTTGAATACACTACAAATACAAGATATTTATGTTCAAACTGAAAAACCTTGTTTTTTTGTGTAAATGTTCACTGATTTTGAATTAGATTTTTTACAACACGTTCCAAAAAAGCTGGGATTTTTAGGGTTAAGGGTTAGGATATAGGGTTAGGCTATTGAATATTTAAAAAAAATTAAATTTGATGCTAATGACACAGAGTGTTGTCAGCTAGCCCAAAGTTAAGTATTTATTTGTCGACTGTCGACACAACAGAGCAAATTACGAACTATTTCCTTAATTCATAACAAGAGTTACACATAACAAGAGCATAATTCAAAACAAGAATCTCAAAATAGCTTTAGGGTGTCAAGTTTAAAGCAGTTACATTTATATCCAAACAAAATAGCATGTACTTCACCAGCACCTTACCCATTCTGTGTACTCTAATGCAGTGGTCCCAAACAACTTTTAACCCATAGACTGACTTGCATAACTTGCAAAACTAGGTGGGAAACAGCAATGTCTGTGCCAGGCCACATGCCTTACTCCCTCTTCCATGTGAGCTTTCATACTAGTCTTACTCCTGTGTGCTGGTTTGCATATCATCCTAGGAGGTGTCAATCGCAACAATAGAAGTAGACAGATGCTTCCAGTTTTTCAAAATAAAACGTCTCAGAGTGTGATTGTCATTACCACATAAATCACAAAACATTTTTTTTGTTTTTGCAAAGACGAGTGGATCAAAATTCCCCCACAGTGATGGAAAAGACTGATTACCAGACTGAACAGAAAAATCTAATGGCAGTTTTTTCAGCCAAATGTGGCAGAATCAGTTAGCAGGGTTAGAGACAATTATTTTTCACAAAACAAAAAATAAATCTTTGAGAGGACAAATACTTTTTCACTGTACTGTATTGTCTATGGCGTAACAGTGTTATTTCTAAGAGAAAGAAAATGACTTTTTTACTTTTGCTGTTTATCTTGCTGAAAATATTTTTGTTCAGTTACAGAGTGAAACTTTGAGAATTCGTGGGGGGCACAACCTCTGTATTGAATATTTGATGAAGCTTTAACCACAGTGACACTCTTCAGAAGCTGTAGGTCAGAGGGTGTAAAAACCAACATGTCAAGCTGAAACCACACAGGATTTATTGCTTTATTAAAACCGAAACAAACAACCCAATCCTTTTTATTTTCTGCAAAGTTCTCATTAGGTTCACAGGTTACAGAATATTGCTGACTTTTTTTTTTCTTCTTATTGCTTTGCTTTACTCATTTAAAATCCCTGAAACTAAGACACTGATTAAAACTGGATCTTAAACTATGGAGTTTTGAGTGAACTTTCCTAAATGTTTTGGGACTCAAAACAGAGTAAAACCATTTATTTTTATGTTATTGTCTTAAACGTGTTTGGTTTGGATGTTTATATTTCAGTGGAACAATGGATCAGATCCTTAGAGAATACTTATGGCAGTGGGAGGATGGCTGGCTAGCTTGCTGGCTAACTGGCTGGGTAGACAGATTATGGCTTCATCTGAGGTCTGAGCCTGACGTCCAAGCCCCAGCTTTTTGGACTATGCATTAGGCAGAGCACTAAGAACGTTGACAGATGCTTTCTTTGTCACTGGGCCTGTTGGTGGGTGGGGTTATATTGGGCAGCGGGTGAGCTTTTGTTCTCAAAGTCAATAAGTTAGAAATATTAGAGCATAAAGATTTAAGCTACTTTGACAAGGACCAAATGGTGATGACTAGATGACTGGGTCAGACCATCTCCAAAACTGCAGCTCTTATGGTCTTCAGTGGTCAGTATCTATAAAAGTGTTTCAAGAAAGGAACAGTGGGAAACCCGTGACAGGGTCATTGGCAGCCAATGCTTATTGATTTTGGTGGGGAGCAAAGGCTGGTCTGTATGGTCAGATCCCATAGATGAGCTGGTTCTGATATAAAGCTGTTAGAATACACAGTGCTAATTGTGGATTAGAGGGTGACACGGGAGTGGATTTTCTCTCCTGTCCCATCCCGCTCCCACAGAAAAATGTCTTGTCCCATCCCAATCCCAGGCCAGCATAACAAAAAAATCCTGTCCTGTCCCACTCCTGGTAAATTGACTCCCACTCCCATCCTGCTCCCATTTAGAACGACTCCCACTCCTGTGCCACTCCCATTTTTGTTTTCTTCATTTAGTCTTTTGGCAATTTCTTTGTTTGAAGGACCAGTTAGGTCCCTGTTTTTAGCTGTAGTAAAGGCCAGTTAAAGTATTAAGAATAATAATGAAGAAATAATAAAATATCAAACAAGGAAACAGACCATCCTATCTTAGCTGAATAAACACAATGTACATAGTTGGATTTTACTCATTTATTAAGTGATTGTTTCCTTTGAACAATTACATTACTTTTATGTTTGAAGTTGCTGAAACGAAAGAAAAATGCACCTAGCAAGAGAACTGTACTTGGTGAACAAAAGTGCAAAAAGGCCTTACCTTCATAATTTAGAAACTGTACCTCAATGGTTCACAGCCCTGGTCCTCAGGGACCCCTTCCCTGCAAGTTTTACATGTGTGTCTGCTCCAGCACACCCGATTTAAATTCTGACATGACCTCCTATACAGGCATCAAGAATGGAGGGTCAAACTGGACAAAATTAATACAATAAAGTCATCATTAAATAAATCAATGTTGAGAATGTCCCATGAGTGAAGTAAATGTAACATGAAAGAAATGTAACATTAAATTTGCCATTAAATTAAAGGTACCATTTATTTATTTAATACATCATTAGAAACAATAAATGTACCATTATATCATGAACTATTATGCAATTAATAAGTATAATTTTAAAGACGACATGATGTAATTAGTGGTACACTTAATATTTACTGATGTTTTAAAATAAATTGTACATTTAATGGTACATTCGATTTTTTTCTATTTCACAACGTATTTATTTAATATCTTCCCTTGATGAAGCCTTTCTACGGAGTCTGCGAGGGGACATGGGGTAATTTTCGTTTCTTTTGCGCAATACTTTTTGCGTTCTCACGCAACAGTCTTTGCGTTATCTCGCAATACTTTGTGGGATAGTTTCCAAACCAGATAACTGCAAAAATGGAACAAACACTACACCCGTGTTTGAGATTTATTGAGTTTTATTTTGAAATTGGCCTCAAATAAAATGATCTTCAATCAGACTTAAAGACAGTTATTATCCCACAAGCTGTCAAACTACTGAACTCTGGACATTAATACTGCACGAAACCACATCTGTGACACTTTGTTTGCTTATTGCTCTTGCATGATGTGTACTTTTTTTTGGACGCCATTAGTGCTTTTGTTTTTATAGTGATTTGAACAGTTTTTCTGATACTAAGCATTTATTCACATTGTTGACTGCATGTGAACCTGCATATAACAAATAAACCATATCAATGCCATATTAGTGTTGTTTGTTTTGTGAGCAGTTTGTCATCTGTGCTGCTGTTCCAAAATGCACAGCTTTCTCAAGGTGATTAACAACTTTTGCGAGCAACGCAAAAGTATTGCGTGGGGACGCAAAAAAAAAAAATCCCCCATGTCCCCTCGCTTGCTCCGTATCTTTCCCCTCTACTGTGGCAAAAGCTCTTAAATCTATAGTGCAAATGCAGCAACTTTGTAGGTCAGATGAGACTTGACACGTGATGGTACTTTTGGTTTGACGAATGAAGAGATGCAGCTGATTCAATCCAGAATTTGCCTTACAAGTGTGCCTTAGTCACTGGTGTACTTGATTATGACTAAACACGTTTTACAAGCAGCATACTGTGTGTTAACAACGCTGCATTCAACTCTCCTGAAGTTCGGTAATATTTGCGACTTTCCTGTCAGCTCTGTGAGTTTAATAGATAAGTCCTTACTTCTGACTTTACGTTGCAAATCCAATTTTACCACGTCCAGTTCTCCACCTGCGTTTGCTCCCTCCATTCTGAACGCAGGTGGAAAACATCGATCAGAAGCACTGTTGGCTTGTGGGTCATTTAGTTCGTTTGACTCGCATTATAGTATAGGCTTCTTAGAAAAAAACTACACAATGGCGGCGTCGATCCAAGTTTTTTTTTCTTAAAGTTTAGAACAAACTCTCAGTTTTACATTTCCAAAGACAATTGAGCCGAGTTCATTTTCCCTCCTATTGGTTAGCTCCCGCTCCCGTCTGCTCCTGTTAATTTTTTTATCCTGTACTGTCCCAATCACGTGATCTTTACGAATGCTGTCTCCCATCCCGCGGGATTCCCATGGGAATCCCGTGACCCTTGGGATTCCCGAAGAAATGTCAGCCTCTATTGTGGATTAGTCCTCTACCTGTTCACTATTCTTTACAAACAAATTGTACAGTCTGGTCAGGACAGAAGTCCTTCAGCCTCCACAGCAGTTTCACAAAGTGGGGTTTTGATTCCATGTCATTGCTACACATGGAAATATCATGTAAAAATATTTTATAAAATATACAGGTTCTCCTTTAGCCAGTAATTGAGTGGTACTAGGTGCATTATATTCTGACAGCAAATAATATTATAATTTATTTGTGTATCTCAAGATGTGGACAATAGAATTCTTCTGCTGTTAGTTAAGATGTGGAAATTTCCACAGGTAAACAAGTTAACTGTTGCAACATTAATGCTAATTCCAATTCCTGCATTTATACATGGATAAAAACTCTTAATGCTAATATTTCTCCTCATTTTGCTGTGGTTTTATTATGACTGGAGATGTTTTAAACGGCAAAATAATTGGTGTACTCATATCTCTGGCTAGGGCTGCATGGTGGCGCAGTTGGTAGCACTGGTGCCTTGCAACATGAAGGTCCTGGGTTCAATTCCCTGCATGGAGTTTGCATGTTCTCCCCGTGCATGCGTGGGTTCTCACCGGATACTCCGGCTTCCTCCCACAGTCCAAAGACATGCCTGTTAGGTTAATTGGTCTCTCTAAATTGCCCTTAGGTGTGAATGAGTGTGTGCATGTCTGTTTGTGTGTTGCCCTGCGATGGATTGGTAACCTGTCCAGGGTGTACCCTGCCTCTCACCCGTACACTGCTGGAGATAGGCACCAGCTTCCCCGCGACCCACTTTGGAATAAGCGGTAGAAAATGTCTGACTGACTGACATATCCCTGGCTGCCCTTCTATCTGGGATGTCTGAATGGGGATTGGATGGCTATTGATCTGTTGTTGTATCCACAGGGCTGTGTGTAGGTTGTGTGTGTGTTTTTTCTAGCCTCCTCTTATTGCAGGGTGTGACAGACAGGTGTCCCCACACAGCTTCAGCTTGCTCAGGCTAATCAGGAGAAACATAAAGAAAAGTGGATTCCTTAAAGCAGATGCAGGTCTCACAAAGTGGTAACCACGCCTTACCGTTTTGCATTGTTTTTTGCTCTCATGTTCTTTAGCTTACCTTTTTGTGTCCTCCTTCCAGTAGGAAACCTGCTCTCCGGCCCTCTGCTTCACTCTTAGAGTTAACTCGTGTACTTACCTTGGGACTCTGGTGCACTCTACTGCCTGCTCCCTTCTGGAACCGCTGCCTGACACCTCCTGCATGCAAACAATGTCACCTGCCTGTCCAACCTTCAATGCTCCACCGCTCCGCCTTTTGTCTCCTTCCTCATCCTGGAGCAAGAAACTTAATCAGATCTCCGTTTCACACACCACAATCTGCCAGCCTCACCTTCTTGGATTTATTCACCTCTCCCTTTGGATTATCTTCAAACACACCAACACAAAGACTCAACACTTGTGGCTCTAATGGCAAAGATCTCATTTTTTCACTGAATATATTAATCCCCTACCTCGCCTCTTTAGTGACATCCCAGAACCTGGTCCAGCATGCAGAATTGTTTCAATAAACGGTTTATTCTTCCTCCAACATTTGTAGTTGTTGCCTGCACTAACCACTATGACACCTGTATGATTGGATGCTGTTCATCTCATTTAGTAGAGAAGTACACATCACCATGATGTCACACACCCTCTCTGTGGTGACCCTGACCTTACACAGGGACCGAAGAAAGGATTCTGAGAATGGTCATTGGAAGGTGAGCTTCATTCCTGCAGTGGACCACATTAAAACACTGCTGAAGCCCCAGCTCAGGGTCAGGGTAATGCATCAGTATACAGGAATATGTTTAGTCCTTCAGTAGGTATCATTACAGATGAATAAAGAATAAAAAAATAATTGTACAGATATTTAAGTTTCTCAACATGTACTTAGTTATGTGGTGTACCTCCTATATGATCCTGTCAGTGCAGGGAATTACCTGTGAATTGTAGCATGTTGTGTTATGCGTTATGTGTCGTGTTATGTACAAAGATGCTGTGAAAAGTATTCCATTCAAACATTCTCCTTCATGTTTAGCAGTGCAGGTATATGTACTTTGTATAGATTTTATGTAACTTAAAAGCTCTGCAGAATGAGTGAAATATGTGTGTAATCCCAGTCTGAGCCTGCAGTTGAATGTCTAAAACAATTTAATGTATAAAATAGCTAACTCAGAATTTTAATTGATCTTTCATTGTTGCATTATATAAAGTGCTAAACTACAGTAAAACGTCTCTCTGATAGCTATTATAGGTTTGTGGTTTGGTGTTCCAGTTCACACTCTTCCCACAACTAGACACACTGCTGCATTTAAATATTTTATTCATCATATTAGATGGTGGTGAGAGATAAAGAGCTGCATTTACATAAAAACGCAGCGTGATCAACAAAACATGCTCTGATGCAAAAACATATTCACATCGTCAGGATTATGTGTCACCAGCGAATATTATTGATTTAAAAGAGAATTGGAAAAGCAATGCTGTTCTAGCAACATAAGTATGTATCTTCAAATTTAGGTGAGAAAATCCTCTTATAACATTAGACATTAAAAAAAACTGTTTTAACGTTAATCAGATTATATGAATGAAAAACTGTCCTACAGCAGCTTCAGTTAAAGTTCAACCAACAGTAACAAAGAGATAATTTCATAAAACTAAAGGCAGTTGGAGAGATGGTAGATATGGTAATATATTATGATCTATTATAATCAAAACAGTGATACTTAGCAGTGATAATTACCAATTGGATAACAGACAATGCATTTGAAACTAAAACAAGTGGCTGGAACATATACCCAAAAAATGTTGACAGATTATAGCAGTCAGTGAGGTGGAAAAAGATTTGGAAGATCACTTTTTTTTTTACATGTAATGATCAGCAAAGCAGTTCTGGCAGCATAGACCTTTTTTCTTTTTTTTTTACTCTGCCTCATTCCCTAATGTGGCAACAGTATGCCACGGATAAGCTTGATTTCAACCTGAAACACAAAGATGGCGATTAGAGAAGTTTATTGATAAAAGTTAATAGATGGTGGAGATGGAGATGGTGGAGGTGGGGCGGAGGAGGGTCGAAGCTCAGCTAAAGAGCCGGGAAACCATGATTGGAGGTCCTTATAGCGAAGCTTCAGAGGATGATTGATTGAAGACACATGCAGATCTGACACTGATTGGATGGAGGAGAGACGCACGGTGGAGTCATAGGACGACCGAGGGGTGGAGGTGAGTCTTTCAGTTTGAATTTTCGTCAAAACTCTATATCAACCCAAATTAATTAAAAGCTTAACCTTGGTTTGATATATTTAGTGCCTCCACTATTCTTGCTTTTTGAAAAGCTTTGCTTTTCTGTTTTGGCCTGTCACTGTTTTAGACTTAACCGTCTACCATCAGTGCAGGTTCTTTTGGGTTTTAAACACCCCACCAGAGCATGTTCTTAGAGCCTAAACCACCTTTTATCTCAGTAAGAGTTACAGATTCTAAGTCTAGTTTTAAATAACTGGTAACAAAACTGTAATTGGCAAAAACAGCTAAAACTTTGCCATGATCTAATTTTTGTCCTTGTCATAATGTAATTGCATGCAGTGACTGTTGTTTTTATGTAATTCGACTCATTTAAAGTATAGTTCCATGTACACATGTATATCATTCATTCATTTTGATATTATATAAACTAATCTGATATAACAGCCCTGACCAAGGCATGGGCTTTATAAAACGCCTAAAAGTGCGCTGTGATATCTGGCACCAAGATGTTAACAGCAGACTACTCCCGACAACACTAAAGGGTGTTGTCGGGATTGGTCCCTCACTCTCAACTGAAGCATTCGTAGGAAGAACATCACTTCACATCATCACTCATCATTTATCTGTTCTTTACAGAGCAAGTTGTTTCTCACAGTAGATGTCACACCTTTTTTATTCTGTAGGTTTACTGATCCAGGGAACATCTGTGCAAAATCTTTGTTCCAAAGATATGCCCACTGAGAACCTTTGGGGTAGCAGTAGTTACAGGTAAATCTAAAGAAAATTAAATATTGTGTAAAAGTGCAATAGTTTTTGCCAGTAATTTCAGAAAGGTTTCAGAAATGCTTGTTTTGTAGAGATTCATTCCACATAGAGTAAAATATTTCAAGCTTTTATTTCTTGTAATTTTGATGATTATGGCTTACTGGTAAAAAAAAACCCAAAAGTCAGTGTCTCTGAAAAATTGAATATCACATTAGACCAATCAAAAAAGAATGTTTTAAGAAGAAATGTCAGGCTTTTGAAAAGTATGTCCATTTCTATGCACTTAGTACTTGGTTGGGCCTCCTCTTGCATGAATTACTGCATCAATGCGCCGTAGCATAGAGGCGATCCGTCTGTGGCACTGCGTAGGTGTAATGGAAGCCCAGATTGCTTTGATAGCTGCCTTCAGGTCATCTGTGTTGTTGGGTCTGGTGATCTTCCTCTTGACAACAGCCCATATATTTTATATGGAGTTCAGTTCAGGGGAGTTTGCTGGCCAATCAAGAACAGGAATAGCATGGTCATAGAACCAGCTTTTGGTATCTTTGGCAGTGTGGGCAGGTGCCAAGTCTTGCTGGAAAATAAAATCAGCATCTCCATACAGCTTGTCAGCAGAGGAAAGCATGAAGTGCTCTAGAATTTACTGATAGATGGATGCATTGACTGTGGACTTCAGAAAACACAGTGGACCAACATCAGCAGATGACATGGCAAACAATCACCGACTGTGGAAACGTCACACTGGACTTCAAGCAACGTGGATTCTATGTCTCTCCACTCATCCTCCAGACTCTGGGACCTTGATTTCCAAATGAAATGCAGAATTTACTTTCATCTGAAAACTGGACTTTGGACCACTGAGCAACAGTCGAGTTCCTTTTCTCTTTAGCCCAGGTAAGACTCTTCTGACATTGCCTATGGTTCAGGAGTTACTTGACACAAGGAATGCGACATTTGTTGCCCATTAATAGTATTCGTTTGTGTGTGGTGGCTCTTGATGCACCGACTCCATCCTCAGTCCACTTTTTGTCAAGCTCCCCCAAATTCTTGAATGGATTTCGCTTGACAATCCTCTCAAGGCTCTCCCTGTTGCTGGTGCAGCTTTTCCTTCCACACTTCTTCCTTCCACTTAATTTCAGTTAATATGCATGGATACAGAACTCTGTGAACAACCAGCTTCTTCAGCAATGACCTTTTGTGACTTACCCTCCTTGTCAAGGGAGTATAAGGCAGTATTCAAATTTTCTGAGACACTGAATTTTGGGTTCTCTTTGCCTGTAAGCCATAATCATCAGAATTACAAGAGAGAAAGGCTTGGAATATATCAGTCTATGTGTAGTGATTCTATATTGCTGCATTCCATTTGTACTCGGAAGTCGGAAACACCCCCGAAAGGCAGAATTACAACTCGGAAAGTTGGGGCAACATGACCATACTCGACGTCCTCATTCAAAATGGCTGCTACTCGCATCAATAGTAGTAAAACCTTCTTACTTTCACTGTTTTTAGCAGTT